TCTTTGATTCCTCTGAAAGAAAAACTGCCATGTAAACATAGGATTGCAGTTGAAAAGCACTAAATTATATTTTACGTTAAAAAATATACACATATATATATTCATCTAATACCTGCATCATGGTGTAATCTTTCATCATCTACTACTGGTTCACTGGAACCTGAAAAAAAAAAAAAAATTAGCAGACACCATTCTGTAAGATTCACATACTATTTCTAATTCTTATAACCATGTAAGAATTATCCTTTAATCCTTTAATATCCTTGAAGAAAATTTAAGGTGAGTGAAGTTCCATAGTTTGTTCTCTAAGTCACAAAGAAAGTAGCACAATTAGGATTTGTACCCAATCTGACTCTACTACATTACACTGCCTCTTTAATTTCTAAATATTCTTTCCAGCATCCTACTTACAAAGACCAAACTCCCAATGGATGATTTGAGAAACACATCTCTTTTTTTTCCCCCCTCACTTCACTATGCAATATTAAACTATTGTTGAGAAACGGCTATAAATATCTGGGTAATCAAAATGATTATGAGTATTATAAAAAGATCTCGTGTTGAATCAGAGTGAATCGTCAAACCAGGGTTAAAATGGCCTTGCATTCTGAACTTTTGAGCAGAAACAGGTATCAATACTTTTAACATTCACAAACCTGGATTTTCCTGTTCATATATTATCTCTTCCATATCCTGATTATAGTCCTGTGGAGCTATAAATTAGGAAATAATTAGAAAATCACAAATATAGTTCAAATAAGAAGAAATATGACTGATATTCAACACAGGAAAAGCACAAAATTTCTAGAAATAATACAAATGCAAAATGAAATCATAATACTGCTCAAATTTACATTTACTCATGGAACAAACAGGTACTAAATGTGCTCAAGTATAAAGATGAATAAGACAGTCCCCATCATCAATGGTTTTATACTCCAACGACGAAACAGTGGAGTTAAATTCTCATTTAGCTTATGCAAATTCAACTATATTCAGTCAAACAAAACTGACAGAGGAAACAGTACTGGTGAGTCCCCCTACCAGGCCACTCAGCAAGCAGATGCCACCGAGAACCCTGAGCAAGGAAGCACTTACCTCCCATCCATCACTGGGACTCAATAGCTAAGTTCCTGTGGTATTTCTCCTCAAGTGGAGTATAATCCTAGTGTTTACAGACACATAACTTTTGAAATAATAGGAGTCCTAAGTGCTAGCCAACTATATCACATGGTTCTCAGCCATGGGAAGAGTGATCTAGTCCAACTCTGGAAGAAAAACTGGCCAACACAACACAGGCATGATATATTAACTTCCAGTGTGGCCGGACCACCTTCTAGGGACACGTGGCAACACACAATTGTAACCTTTCACTGACTTTGTCATTTAAGGCTCCAAAACAAGCAACTACACTGTTATCTTTTAGCCTCGTAATTCCATTATTGGGAATGTATCCCTAGGAAGCAGAATTCAAAATTAAAAAGCACAAAAACTGTATTCAGAAAGACTTATATAAAATATATACACACTCTTTTATAGGAAAAGATTCATTTCTAATCAAGGTAGAATAGTACTTAAGTCTTACCTGTTTCTTCCACTTGGTAACTATCCTCCGTTTCTGAAAAAAATAACATGGATATTAACATTTTCATGAAAGGGTATGTATATGTATAGGGTATATGTATATTCTGAATCTATGCTTATCATTACTTTTATTTTAAAAGCAAATAACCATTAAAATAAAACATGAAAATACCAATTAAGTATCTGCTAAACCACTTTATCTTTCATTGGAATGACACTTTGTAAATGTCTCACATATTCTCCTACTTGATCCGCTCAACAACTCAAAAGGTTACTAAACACCATTACTTCTGTTGAAGAGAGAGGCTGATTTATTCAGAGTAGTACAAAGGCTGGGCCTAGCAAAAGTGCTAATTTCTAGTCCATTTCACATTCCAGTATGGTGTCCCATTTTCTAGGGCTGTTCTACCATTTTCTAGAGCAAAAGTGCATTGTCTATAGCTGGGAAACACAAAAGGAGAATGGAAGAGACTTTCTAAGTTTGGGGGGCTGAAAGGTAAATATGTTGGTAACTTCACCCACATCTCCCAGATAGCAAAAGTGCTGCAACCAGGAGAGGCTGGAATGGCAAACTTTCTGTTGTATACACTTTACCACAATAAAAAACAAAAACAAAAAATCCCACAACCATATGATCCTCATCGCTCTTACGAACTTTGTTAATTATATTTAGCAGATACATAAAGTTGAAAAGGAGCGCTGGTGGTGCATTAGTTGAAGTGTTAGGCTGCTAATTGAAAGGTTGGTGATTGGAACCCACCAGCTGCTCTGTGGGAGAAAGATGTGGCAGTCTGCTTCTGTAAAGATTACACCCTTGGAAACCCTAGGGGGCAGTTCTACCTTGTCCTGTAGGATCACTATGAGTTGGAATCAACTCAACAGCAGTGGATTTATAAAGTTGAAATATTTTTAATTTCTGAAGACTTGCAACACACAACTTTCAAGTTCAAATTGACTCTATGTTCCAATAATAAATTAGACCAGAAAATAAGGTTTCTTCAAATATATGAACTTCTAAGAAGAGTTTCTTTCCACCCCTAATCTGTAACTCCTAACTTCAGGAATGTCAAATTCCTCATGTTTCTGATGATTTGAGTGTCTTAACTGC